AACGCAAATTACAGCCACTATTCCATGGTTGTAGCAAAAGCAGGATTACTTACATTTTAGCACTATTACATGGAGGTAACTTGAGTGTAGCGAGTGATTGAAAAATGACCAATTTGTGAAACCCATTAATTCCATTTCTTATCTCGGTAAATTACTAACACGAATGGAGGAAGATTTATTTCATCCGAGGCACACCTCTCTGCCCATTGTGCAAAATCCACATTCGCAAGTTAGAGGGTTACGTAGGCGAGGATTTTCGGCAAGAGGCGTATGACACCACATATGTATTCAAGACCACGTTTGCCAAGGTGTTCACTCAAGGCAGTGGATTCCATCTAACTCCCTCTCCAATGCTTTCCATTCTTGAGCCACTGATTCTGCAGCATTTGAAGGCATGTGTCTCTATGCCACTGTTTATGTTCGCCACTTTTCACCACTGTGTGATTTCAATATTTGTATGAAGGAAAGTAATCGCGTAAGGCGAATGAGCAAACCCAGTAAATATGCTAGCTTGAAATTACCCATTTGCTTATTGTGTCACTATACATGCAATGAATGTTACACTGCTTGGTCCGTGTGAAAAACACCATGGTTAGTCGCATCCAGCGAGAGCGAACACATGAGCTGAAGCATGGACAGCATGAATGAAGGCAGTGCACAAGTGGGGCTTGAAATTGGCAAAAGGTTTGTCTATTGCAGCAGCCCATTCTGTCGCAATTTGAAAGGGACAAATTAGAGGATGGCGTGGGTCATGGCAACTGGAATGGTGACAACAATGAAGGATCATGAGTTGAGGGCTGACTTACTGCTCAGTTGGAATTGTGTTTATCATTTCTCCCGCAAATGCCGTTATTGTAACTCAGTGACTGCGATTGTGTAGGGAGGCATGACTGGAAAATCATGACAGTTACATTAATTGGAGCCTCAGTGCAACCTTGTGTTCACAAATTCGCCAACATACAAAACATCACACAGAGGTGTCACAATTGTCTAGTGATGCGATATCGTGGAATGGTGTTCAAATCAATTGGCAATGTCACTGTGTGGTCTAATTTTGCACGATGGTGAATGAGACCAGCACATCCTGCAAGTAGCTTCTCATCCCAATTCCACCATTAAGAAAGGGGAACCAGCATTACAACTGTTTCATTTCACACGATGTAATTTAGCATTTTGCCTTAAGCTTGCGGTCTAATTCAATCTAGTAACGAGAGCAGACTGTCAACCACAGTAAAGCATTTGAGTACATGCATGTGAAGGAAGTGTTGCGCAACACTTCTTGCCAAGTGTCAGTCATGCTACATGGAGTGTGGTTGCGAATGCTCTCAGTATTGCTAGTTGCAATGCATGGAAATATTGCACTATTCGCAAATTACCCAACTACCAATTCTTGCTAAGTAAATGCGGTGATATTTGTTATTGCAGCTAGAGTGAGAAGGCGACGTTAATGACAAAGCGAGTTGCTTTGGTAGTCGCCATTTCTATCACAAATTTCCAGCACTTTGCTGTGCATAAGAAATCTTTAAACACTTTCGGCTCGCGTG